AACAAACACATATACAAACACACATTTAAACCACTGTGGAAAAAATTTAACACAACAATTATTTAAACAAAGAAACAGCACAATTTTAAGGGGGAAAAATCTGGCAATTTTGAATTTTATGGCAGCAAAACAAAACGCTCAGACAGGAAAAGTGGAACGTTGTCACATTTTCATCAGATTTGTGGTTTGATTTGTTCAACAGTTTTGGGTCTTGGAGTTTTTGCTATATGTCTAAAACCTGTAACAATGTATTGCATTGATAGTGTCATTCCAGATGTGTAAGCTAGCCAGATTTGAGAAGGTAATACACCCCTACACCAACAGAGAGAAAGGGTTTTGAACTGTATTATAATAGATGGATGGCTCCTCCCCTCTTTAGAATGGACGGTGTGACATTTGTGGTTTTCATAAACAAGTTTATATTTCAGGTCATCTGACCACAGAACAGTTTGCCACTTTGCCTCAGTTCATTTTAATGTTCCTGAGCCCATCCAGTGCTGTCCATAACAGATTCAGATTTGTTTTTAAAGCTGAGCTGCCTGAGGGCCCACACATAAACATTCAATATAGAAAATCAGCCTTGTCCTTTGTGCACAGAGTTTTCTTTAGGTCATTAAAAAATATTTCATATTATGAAATATAGAAAAATGGATATTCAATTTCATCCTCGTTTTCCATTGAAACATTTTTTGATCACTCCTTTGTATTTAGGTACAATTTTTCTGACACTGGAGAACATCTGCTTATCTTCACTTTAAAGGTTTCACCTCACTAAAAACGTTTTATACCAAGTTTTTTTACTGGCCTGTTGCCAGCTAACTCATTAATTTTTGCAATTAGCACGTTTAGCTTTTTTATTATTATCTTCTCAAAAAAATCTTGTTTTGTTATTTATGACACCATTTATTTGAGGTCACAGTATTGAATTTCTCCATATAACAAAGTACCATGGTGCATGATACCAATGTAGGAGTTGCACCCACATTGGTCACTAGCAATAGAAAACCTTTGACCACAAAGGTCACAGGTCACCTTCAATGAAAGATGCTAAATCATCATCAAAATCAGATGACATGTTATTTGAAGGCAGCTTGACAGCAGCACATGTCCTGGGTTTGATCCCTGGTTTGAGTCTGGGGTCTTACTGTGTGGGGTCTAAATATTCTTCTGATGCTTGCATGGATTTTCTCTGGGTACTTTGGTTTCCTCTCACAGTCTAAAAATATGCATGTTAGTCTGTTTTCAGCAACAGGCCTTCCTTGCAAAAGAGGTCTGTAATACTGGCGGCTGGTGGATTTTTCTCTAGGGGGGCTACAAGTCCAAAGGCTCATCTCCTAAAGCAATCAAACATGTACTAAGTTGAATCACGACAGTGTATTTATTAAGCAAATGAAAATAATAAAACAGCATTACAATGTCATGTAGTGTTTTATTTTTAGTACATAAATTTTGCTCTTCTGTTACTGAGAAGCAAATTTCTTCATGACTCTGGTTAAAGTCAGGGATGTTTTAACCAGATTCTTATAGAGCATGGTCAGTGCAGTGAGATGTGATGTTGTACCTGAGGAAAGTCTGGATCCTCTTCAGTGCTGAAGCTCCTCAAGATGATGTCACAAACCTAAAACAACAAATGCACAAATTTAATTCAATATGAAGATGGCTACAAATGAGCTTTCTAATAT